AGAACGCTTCCAGCGAACTTTTCAATCGAGCGAACGATATGCGAGGTCAATTTTGCTGTACCACCAACCGGAAAACTGCCATTTTTCGGGAAAAATAACCAGTGCTGAAGGAATGAGGCACGATTCGGTTGTATGCCTGAAATGATCATTGTTACAGGAGGAGCGATGCTGCGAATTCGCCGTATCCAAATCCGTTATCGCCTTGCAAATCCTAATCAATACCCTCCCTCTTCACCTCTGTTTATATCAATGTAATCTTTAATGGGAATGGAATATTTCCTTAATAACAGCAGCAATTGATGAAACGAATGCTATTTGCTCAAGCAAGAATGTTACCATAATTCACGCAGTAATATGAGCACACTGCTTGAAGTTGTTTGCTGAAACCGAATTGTTGCATTGATTGTTGAAGCGTTTGAGCGATATGTTTGCGCATTTTCGTGATCAAATCCAGTAAACCAGACTTGATCAATAAGCGAGTGATGAAAATTGGAATGAATTTGATGCGAAACCACCAGATTGCCTCACCCAAACATTGCTTAAAGATGATTCCTCTTATTGAAAGAAGCATTTTGAAAATACATTTGAATAGGATAGCTTTCTGGAAGAAATGCTCGATTTGTAAATATAATAGATGAATACTTCGTTATTATTTAACGTAAAGTTCTTTCGCTTCCGATGGGAGCATTTCGATTTTTTGGTGCTCGTTTATGTAATCAGAACCTTTTAAGCAGTTGAATTGTACCGCGCAAAACGGGAGTGCAAAAGTTAATTTTACAATGCGTTTCAGTTTGATTGAGCGATTACGATCCGAGTTTCTCGATTGATCTTGAAAACGATCAGATATACCACTGGTTCTCATGTTCGGGTGCCCCATTACCCCCATCATGATCTGGTAGGACGCCGTTATCCCCTCTCCCCCTCCCCATATTAAATACAGAAATCGCTCATGTTATGCTCAGATGACTATTTGCACGAAACACTAATTTCCCGACCCCCTCCATTACCCCTTGACATCTCCAAATCACCCAAAATGGGTAAATTCACCCCCTATGAGAACCACTGAGAGATACAATCACGAGACTCTTTAACTGTTTGATATTCGAGTCAGAAGTACGAAAACAACTCACGCCAACATGTTGTTCATATGCACTGATTTTATCGCTCTCATCGGGAAACCATTCTTTGAGTTGTTTGAAAAAAGCATTATAATTACCTCCAAAATGTTCATAGCGTTTATCACCGATAATCATCTTAAGCAATTATCGTTACAATCATGAAATTACATTGATGATGATGTTCAAAGAGTATGTGTTCATTCGTTGTTAATGTCAAATTTGTCATGATGGGATGAATCGATATCACTAAGAAACATTGAAATCAAATGATCATGCATAGGATGAAAGATGACGGATGAAACGGATCCAAGAGGAGAATACGAATTGCTGTTAATGTCAAATTAGCTGTAATTTGTTACAGATATATGAATGTATATCACGAAACAACAAAGATGACAAATGCACAAACCACATCGAATGGATCTTCGATTGGTTGCCAAGTCATTTGCGATTCTGTGACAGCACAACAAATTTTGTGAGATGCGTTGTGTGGCCGCATTTGGAGAGCGTAATGCATACCTGAAATTTTTTCTCATCGTAATGCAAGGGAATGGTTCATGTTCGACAGAGAATCATTTTGTGACTGAAGCATAAGGAAGTTTGAATCGCACTTTCAAGAAAACAGCGCACCACGATGATTGCTTTTTAACATATTGGCAACAACTGGAATGAACACCCTAATGTCGACTGAATGAGTGATTATTATCTGCGCGATTTTCATCAGCACATTTACTCAATTATAGTGACAGTCGTCGAGTTCTACTCAAGAAAATCCACTTACCGATATGGATGGATTGAGAAAGTATTGCAAATGAATTACATTACAAGACAGTTGAGAAATAAGTGAAAGCGCAAAGATATCGCAATTATACGGACGAAATGAAGCGTATGATATTCACGTTTAAGCATGCATGAATATGTTCGGGATATTTTTGTAATGATCTGGAGAAGATGGATGTTGGAAAATGCAAAGTCGAATGAACACACCGACGTCAAATTCGAATCTGTCCAACTCGAACGTATGACATGAACCACCGGCGCGATCGTGTTGCTCCAACACCAACACCTTCCGTCCTGCAGCCGCCAAAATCTTCGCAGTTGTTAATCCACATAGTCCACTACCGATTACGATGATATCCAAATTAGAGGGCACTTTGCTAGGATGAAAATCTGAAATGTGCGTTCGAAGTCAGGTGCAAATGCAGTTTTAGCTTTTTATGAAGCAGCTGAATGCTCGTTGACCAATTGAAACGCTGTAGTGAATTCGGTTTTGATTCGGTTTCATTTGCTTCATATTCATGTTTCGTTGGCACAATGAAAGATGATAATTATCGGTTAGATTACGACTACTTCAGGAAAGTAACATTGAGAAAAGAGAAAGTATTCCTTTTGTGATGAAGGAACATGGTAAACGACACATATTGCTCTCATTCACCATTGAAATCACACCACTTAAGTGCCGTCAATTGAATCAACAAAACGGCTGAATCAACAAGAGCGTCAATGACGAATAAAATTTAAAGTGTACCCTGAAAATGTTAAACATTGCCAAATTTTCAGTGAAACTCAGAAAAGACCTTGACGTAGAATATCATGCATTTGCTGCTCATTCAACGGTGCTTCGTTAGGTGTTCCAGAGCAGTGCATTCGCATGAAATAATTTCCTTCAGCACCATTATGTGTGAATTTGCGTATCACTTTGATAAGGAGAACAAGTGCGATAAGAAGAAAAACAATCAGCCATATCGCCATTGGTTATCGATTGAGCGTTTAGTTTTCTGCAATCTTGAAGACGACTCATTAGGAAATTTTTAGCAATTGATTTGACGATAAAATTTCATTCAGATAGATTTTTCTCTCCATTCTCATTTAGACTGATCGAATGATGAGTGCGTA